ATTGTTTAAAACTACTGTATTAAAAATTTATATAATATTAATCTACTATATTTGTATTAATTTAGCTAAAGTTCATCGTAGTGGTCTAACCTTACCTTTCCTCAAAATGTTAACTTTTATGGCGGTACTCATAAAAAATAAGAATTGAATATCAATGTTAGCTTTGGTATAAGACTAACTTTTGTTGTCGTTATTGTTGTTGTGCTTTGTCTTCGTTAAATATAAGTTAAATTTAGTGATATAATATATTTTGTGTCATGGAAGAAGGAACTGCCATCTGTGATACAGGCTCGGCCTAGTACAGCCGGCAATAGCCGAAGTAAGCAACTTAAAAATTTGTATAATTTGTACATAACTTATTTTAAACATATTATAAAAAAGATTATTGTAAAGGAAAGGAATGTAATTACGCTAATAAAGTTTATTAATTAATATTATCAGAACTCAGTAGTGCATGTATGTACTGCTACATGCATTGCTGAGTTCTAGTCTGAAAGGTATAGACTTTTTACGTGGTAAACGTACCGACTATATTATGGTTGTTATATGAGCATGAATGGGTCGGCTCGACCGAGGAAGGTTCACGCTGTCACAGAATACCAGCGTAAAATAGCAGCTTAGTGCTGCTGTGTTTCGTGTGGTGATTGTAGAGAACCAGAGACCCTTTTTACTGGAATCGAGGCATTCCATCTTAGTACCAAAGGGTGACACCGCATCTAAATTTTGATTCTTAATCCAGGTTAAATGTAGATGTCTTTGGGCCACAGCATCCATTTATCATCAAGGGGACTGTGCGCTCGTTTGTCACCCTACCCCGTAGGAGGGTAATCTACCTCTAATAGGCTAGGTACATAGCGTGTCGAGGATACCTAACTACCCCAGGTTGTATTTACCAAAATGAACTCCTAAGCGGAAAAGCTGCAATCCTTCACCTAGCAAAAATTCAGTATCGACTGAGATTACCCTTGTTTTTTAACAAGCCAGTGCTCGATTGAAAATCAACCTTGTGGTAAGTGGTGAGCCTTAGGTAAATTGTAGTGTCTTAGCATAACAAAAGTCTATTTACTCTTGTCTTGAAAACACCCAGTTGTAATCGGACGGGAAAACAGACGCCGGTCATATATGAGAACTTCTTTTTTCTAAAACCGATTCTAGAACTTGGTTATCCTAGGTCCTACGATAATCTCAGATTATAGCGAGTTTACACTCTAATTTTACAATGTTAACATTTTTGTAATATAGTTTATTTTATAAGAAAACTAAAAAGAAAAACTGTAGTTAATAATGCCGCAATTATATTAGTAGTATAGTTGTAGCAAGAATGGGTCGCCTCGACTGGGGAAAGACCACGCTGTCACAGAATACCAGCGTAAAATAGCAGCTTAACGCTACTGTGTTTTGTATGGTGAGTGTAGAGAACCAGAGACCCTTTTTACTGGAAACAAGGCATTTCATCTGAGTCCTCACGAGTGACAACGCATCTGCATTTTGATTCGTAATGGAAGATAGATGTAAATGTCTATGGGCCACAGCAACCACTTACCATCTGGTGGACTGTGTGTTCGTTTCTCACTCTATCCTATAATAAGTGACAAATGAAAGTACAGTCCACTTGATGGTAAGTGGTTACCGCAATTAAATCCTGTAACCAACTTCTAACAAAGAAGCCATAATGATGCATTTTTACCTATGAGGACTAACGTGCGTGCTCCCTGTCACCGACCTAGTAATTTAGGTCTAATGATGAGATGAAATGGAGAGTTTTTTTAGGCATTTCCCACCATCATCATCATTACGGCCTATCAAAAATCACTGAAGAACACAGGATTCTCCAAAGTTGGCCCAATAGAACGACATTTGACAAATTTGCCAGGTCCAATGTCAATGTCACCAAGTCAACAACCATAATTTTATATCAGGAGGATGCTGTCGCCCACCTCCTGTTTCATGTATGCTATGGGGTAATGCATTCTCTTAGAATGCACAACACGAAAGAAAACAAAATTTTAATAATATTTGAACTTGTATAACTTTTTTATTAAATAAGCTTAGTCTATCGAAAACTTTCCCGCGATATTCTTACTTCCTACTTGGAACACACTTAGTATTTATTGATGAATATTAAACACTAAGAGAAATAGTTGGCCGCTGCTCAAGTGTGCATGCTCTCTGCGCATCGGTTACAATTCAACTTAAGCTTCTATTGCAGCGAAACACGGCAATGCATGTTGAATGAGCTAAATTGATTTCACATTACCTTTTTACACTTCTGTGGCATAAGTGCAGCTTAAGAGAATCCATTGCTATGTTGTAGGTGTGTTACAATCGATTTGATTCGTAGACACGACCATGTTTAGGTTGCACGTGTAGGATTAATTCAATTGTTCGGATATTTGTGTTGCCAATAAGATGAACCTCATAGATTGGCTTCCAGATAGACGCATCTACATTCTGAGCCTTAATCGAGAGTAAATGTTGATAAGTAGGCCAAATCATCCACTTACCAATCGGTGTATTGCGTGTGTGGATTGTCGTTTGTCAGCCTAATGCTATAAAAACAAACTTTATCGTTCATTAAAATTAAAATTTAAAAGAGAGCGAAAGTAGATCTTAGCGAAAGCGAAAACATTGACTTTCTGACTCGATTTATACAAGCTCTTGATTAAATATAAAACATTTACAACCATACTTAAAATCGTTGATTATCACTTACTTTAATTAAGTATTAGTTATTTATATACTTGTCTCTTTCTATTGCCATTTAGTGAAATGAGAGAAAGAGAAAGAGAGAGCATTAAATTGATGTTAATTTTATGAGTAAAGGCAAAACTGTTAACCGGTAAAATAAACAAAATGAACGTAACACGTAACTGTCTTTATCACTGTAGCACACATGTACACACACACGCGCACATACGTTCACATAATCGCACTTTTTCATTTTACTATTAGTAAATAGTGAAAAAGCATAGTGGTCACAAATCATCTTCAGCGCATGATTTGGAAGCAGACCGAATAATAAATAACTGATAAAAGGATCCTTCAAGGGAAATATAAGTAGAATAAAATAGGTTTTATTGGGTTTAAAAGACATCGTAGAGCCACGCTGCAGTTATATTATGGTAGTAGAACGAATACGTCGGCTCCTCAGCGGTAGGATCACGCCCTTACAGAATACCAGCGTAAAATAGCAGCTTAAGGCTGCTGTTTTTCGTATAGTGAGCGTAGAAAACCTTGTTTACTATAAACGAGGCATTCAATCTTATTTCTCAAGGGTGACAACGCATCTACATTTTGATTCTTAATCGAAGATAAATGTAGATGTCTATGGGCCATAAGATTTAATTAACATCAGGTGGACTGTATTTGTCATCCTTCTTCTATAAAAATACATTAAGCACTTTCACTGGTCTAACTTGTAACACTTGACAAAGCAAGGTTATAAATTCGCACTTGACACGAACTAGACCTAATCTACGAGTACATATCTTTGACCTCAGAAAACCAGAATAATAAACTTAACAATAATCTACTTTATCCAACGTTGACTGCATTTTCTCATGGTCTTGAAACTATAGACTTTTAATGTCTTTTGATGATTTTATTACCTTAAATGACGTGATTCTAATGTCATTTCTAGGTTATTTACGTTATCTTGACGTTAGATAATAATTGTCGTGAATGATTGATCTTAAACAATTCGATCTTTATATTCTATTATTCCTATTTATCTACACATATAAATAAAATGGACTTTATAGTGGCGGTGTAAGAATATCCGCTACCCCATACCATCCGGTAGGTATCGTAAGAGGCGACAGAGAGAGAAACAAATAATGAGATGAGCAGTAGCGTCTTCCTAATACGGAATAAAAAAACTGCGCATGCCTGGCCTGGCAACTATGGCAAATATCCCCTCTAAATATAAGTCTATGGGGAAACCCTATTTTCAGCAGTAGACTTTAATAGGCAACGATAACGGCAGTATAAATGTCTTTGCACCTCTGGCAATGCACAAGCCATCATTATAATATCGTAAGTGTTAAATCCTATACTACTTAATTATATATTATACTAGATAAGGAGGTTAAGATAAGTGAGCTCTTCATTAACGTTTCAATATCATTATCAGTCATTTTAGGTCAACTGCTAGGGATATACTTTTTTTAAAGAGTAAGCGTGACAAACGAGCAAACAATCCATCTCATGTCAGTAATATGATGACATCTATTAATAATTTAAGTGTACTTGCTATGCGTTGTTACCCCCGAGGATTAAGATAGAAAGTCTCTTTACCAGTAAAGAGGGTCATTGGTTTTCTTTATTCCCCATACAACACAAGCAAACCCCATGACACTATTTTACGCTGGTATGTAAGAACATGGTAGAGTCACGCTGCCGCTATATTATAGTTGTAGTATGAATGGGTCGGCTCGACCGGGGAAAAACCACGCTCTTACAGAATACCAGCGTAAAAGAACAGTTTAATGCTGCTGTGTTTCGTATGATGAGTGTAGAGAACTGGAGATTTTACTGGAATCGAAGCATTCCATATTAGTTCTCGGGGTGAAAACGCATCTACATTTTGATTCTTAATCGAAGTGATGTAATGAAATACTTTCCTATTTATGACTGTTATAGATAAGGAAGAGCGGGCTCCTGACACAGGTTTTCTTTTAAACTTACTAGGAGGACCCATCTACTATATTGTTTATGTATGTAATTTTAAAGAAATAAAGCATTAAAAAAATCGAAGTTAAATGTAGATGTATATGAGCCACAGCACCCACTTACCGTCAGGTTGATTGTGTGCTCGTTTTTCACCTTAATTCTATTAAAAAACCTGCTTCTTTTTTGGTTGAGCTGAGCCATGCGTGCTGTCCCTATATACTTATAGCACGTTAAAGGAATCTTTATTTGAAAAAGAATGTAAATTAATAATAATCAGTATATAGAAATGTTGAAAGATATTTAATTTAATTTAAATTTTTTCATTCCAGGTGAGATCTATGTTCGGTAACGAAGACAATTCTTCCTCCGAGCTGATGCTCCCGATACTGTTAGACATGGCTAATTTGATCCGACGGGCAGTTAGATCAGGAAAGGAACCGAGAGAAGTAAAACTGCCATCGACACTACCGCAAGTCCCGTTCCTTAGACGTTCATTCCTCGAAGACACGTCACAGAGCGATGAGTTTGATCCGGGTGTTGTGGAATTCAAATCACTTAAAACCACTACCACTAAACCAAAACTCACTTTCAAGAATCTCAATACAAGAATCAGACCTCAAAGAACTACAGAAACTCGATCCAATAAAACAGATGTAGAGAATAAAACTGTACAAGTTAACAAGACACTAATCGACAGTTTGTTACAGAGTAACGTTGATAACTTCGATTTTACTTCTGTTGACAATAATGACAATAAAAATGTAAGTAATTCACAAAGCTTCTCAACATTACTGGTATTTGTACCCTGTAATATTTTTAACAGATCCTGAATACTTGATAAAACATACTCGTAGTAGGAAGAATATGGTACACAATATTAGACGAAAACTTTTAGAAACGATAAGAAGGAAATTTTATTTCTGAATAGACTCAAAATTTTACATCTTAAAAAATTATCCTCAACTTTCTCTATTCACACGCCAATGGAGGTTACATAATAATTGGATAGAAGTTAGTAACAATATACCTACAACAAAAATATTATTTTTAAATTAAAATTATAACTTAATATGTAAATATTTTAATATAAATGTTTATGTAGTTTTCATTTTTTACAAATTATTTAAGAACGTAATTATATACATTATTGTTAATTTATAAATAAATTATGTATAGTTGCCAATTCCATACTTTACTAACGGCTTTTACATTTTTATTATTCTATTACCTAATATTGAATTTTAAGCAAAGTATAAAAGAAATTCGTTTTTTAAATTGTAAGATTTATAATAGCGATATATGAAAGTTGTCATGATTTGAATACAAATTTATATTACGTATAGTTTACATATTCAAAATTATAATTACATTCTTAAATATGATAATATTTGATAAAATAATTTTTTCACAAGCAATTTTAGTATAATTAGTAAATTGTCTTTCTTTTTAATTTATTTTGGCACATGCTAATCAGGCGATTCGTGTGCTTGTTTGCCTTCTCATCCATAAAAAAAACATTAAACAGAAAAAATGCAAATAATTTCACAGACCACTTTTTCAATAAATTGTAAAAGTTTAAAGAAAGTTACATCGTGACAAATTACACTAACATTACCATGAAGAAGTGGTGAAATAAAAAAAAAAAAAAAAAAAACGCAGATATAGCCGAAGTCAATGAAATACGCAGATCTTGATCAAATTTCTATGGGACTACATGAGAAGCACCAGCTTTCAAATTAAAAAAAAATCATCAAAACGGTTCACCTAGAAAAAGTTTTGAGGTAACACACATTAAAAAATACAGTCTGATTCAGAACCTCCCCTTTTTTTGAAGTCGGTTGAAAATAGACAGAAAACGCAACTCACTCGCTAGTCTTACTTTTAATTTCTTTTATAAGATATTACAAGACGTGGATAATAGATCGATACTAGTAAATTTGAATGAACTTTCTACCTGGCAACACAAGGATTATGCCTGTGCAGACACTTATTTTATACATTATGGATTATGCAGATGTTTGTTACCCAGATTAATTTGGACTAATATCTTTCCAACAAGCTAGTGTTGCATTAGGTACGTATAGGGGCTTCGAAAGTGTGATCATGTTTCTCTATATCGTAATCGCCTTAAATGGCTCACAACCAAACAATATAATTCTGTTTGATCATTTTTAATATTATTAATCAATCGCGAATGCCACAAAACACATTTCTGTGCATCTATCGACTTCCTGCACGACTCACCAGGTCGTCACTCCGTCTAGTGGGGGGACGCTCCATACTTAATCTACCTTCGATCAATAGTATATAATTGATCGAAGTAACTACCGATATGAGCTGACTCGATAAATTTCTTCACCGTCGCTTGTCGGGTTTTCGAGCTACGAGCTCGCATACTCGTATATGGCTGGTCCATTGCCAATTCAGCTTACTAATTCATTGGGCTATGTCAGTTACTCTGGTTTTCTGCGGATATTCTCATTTCTAAGTTCTTTACGCAAAGAAACTCCGAGCATAGCCCTCTTCATAGCTCTCTGAGCGACTTTAAGCTTTCTCATATGGTCAGCAGTGAAGGACCACGTCTCAGGTCCATAAGTCTATAACGACAAACACGCATTGGTTGTACAATCTTGTTATGAAATTTTGAGCACCTCAAGACGGTTTGTTTTGATGCTGACGCGTTAATACATTACTTTTAATAACTTCTTGGTACTTATTGTTAATGAATCTTTATCGTTGACTTATTGTTTTATTGAAGAGCTTGCTACCGGTAAGAATAAACCCTTAGATAGCAGGCCCTTTACTAAAACAGAATGCATTTCCCAATATAATATGATCAATATTTTCTTATAACTCTTTTAACAAAGTCTAATGCAAGTATAAGATTTGACAATATAACCAAGATTTTTGTCACTTATCCCTGGAATTTATTAAAGAGATCACAGTTAACTCGACAAACAAAACTTTTACCTAGTTTCACTTTCCACCTCATTTTGTAAGCGTTGCGTATCTCTTAACTGAGTAGACAAACGTTTTGAAAGATAATGAGCTAGAATTAATTTGATCATTTTATGAAAAACAATATTACGAGTAATTAACCTAGTCTACAGTATTTAGTTAGAATACTTTTATGTTTGTTGTAGAGTTAATGAATGTGGAATTATTATTACTCAAAAATACTATAAGGTATTTTATTCCTACTTTCTTCTATTTTAGAGAATGTTTCAAACTATAATCTTGTGCTGTTTCATAGGGGAAAATCATCCCCATTTACTTCTAACGAAATTTTTTTTATAATACTTTCATCCAAACAAGCATTCAGTGACGACCTGGTAAGAGATGCAGGTAGTCGATGGATGCAATTGGCTCATGACCGTGCTTTTTTACATTTCTTACTGGAGGCTTATGTTCAACGTTGCACTTGCGATGGGCTGTAACGATAATGATGATGATAAAGTATTGAGTATGTTATATAAATATTTCACGCCTTATCCAGTAATTTTCCGTTAGCAATTGATGTATCACACTTTTTTACTAATAAGGTTATTAAATAAATTTAGGCTTTTAACATTTAAGCGTGGAGCTATCACAAGTCCACTGCTGGACACATTCCCACATAAGGGGGACATCTGTAATGATTGCCACACTTATCATGCAAGTTGGCAGCCATATTTTTTATTATTGAGTGAATATCAGAAAGACGCTAGGGGATTAGATTAGAGTTAAACCCTATAGGTTTTTAGTTGGTGCGTCTTTTGTCATTTGACATTTCTCCAGAAAATAAACCATTCCGTTGTAATTTTTTCCAAATCACATTTTACTGCAGTTTGGTGGTGATCAAATCAAAATGTAGAAGGGTTGTTGCCCCTGGGGACTAATATGGAATGCCTCGTTATCAGTAAAAAGTGTCTCCGATTCTCGAGGGAGCCTTATTTTCAGCAGTGAATAAGTTCAATAATAACATATAAATATAAAACATAGACCATCCTCAAGAAATGCTACAAACATGGACCTCAGCTACCTGCGTTTATCGATTTCCTGCATATCTTACCAGCTCGTGATTTCATCTAGGGGGACCACCTAACATTTCTTCTTCACCATCGGTTGTCTAAAATCCGTATGATCCGTTGGGCTATTTCGGTTCCACTGTTTCCACTGCAAATATCATCATCGGATTTATTTTATTTTGAAAATATCCCATGTTTCTGTTTATAATTTGTAATTACCTACATTTCAGAAAACGACAAATGAAACCACTGCAATGGAGCCACCACAGCAAACACAGGCTGAAGGCAGATCGATGACGCTTGCTGACAACATGACTTTGGACCTGACAGCCGACGCTACCAATCACTCGTTGGTACACCAGCTGCCCGTAGCTGAGAAACTCCGTTCGTTTAACAGATACGTTGACAGAAAAGGTAATCGGGATTATTCCCTACTATCTTAGTAAATAAGGCATAAGCTTTGTTCAGAAATAGAAACAGAAATAGATTTTTTTTTTTAATTTAATATATATTATAAATACTTAATACTTGTAGAAAGTCACTCATATGTTTAATTTACCACTGGTTCGAAAAATACCTTCGTCCAGGAAACAACCAGCAAGAAACCCAGCTGGAAAATTGTTGAAGTAAATAACAGTTTACAATCATTTAATTATGTTACACAATTAACAACACAATACAACCTTCTTATACAAACTTTGTTTTTTTTTTACTTTGTGGAGGTCAAATTTTATATATTGTATATTAAATATCATAATACGGTATCCTGAGTTCGATCCTCAATGTCAGCGCTAACAAAACCGTTAAAAGCAATTTAATAATAATAATAATCTTTATTGATATATAATAATAATAAACATATTACATGCACAAAATTTACAGTGGTCATTAGCCCCTAAACTAGGATATAATACCTGTATTTCAGGGGCTAGTTTCCTTCCCTATTCTTAGTTCTATTCCTATAATTTGTTTATCTATGTATTATATTTGTAATGTTTATTTATTATATAATATTAACAAGTATTATTTAAAACGTAAAATTTATGACAGTAAAAAAAATCAAATTAATTGCGATGTTATATCAAATGTTGGAAACATGAATGAAGTCCATCGATATGCGCTGAAGCAGCTCAGTGTACTTTCGCTTATTTTATCTCTTAATGAAAAAACTACATTTATTTACGAGAAAGGTTAATGTAAAAAAATTGTTGAGGCTAAAAGAAATATGCTGGAAAATCTACACAAATAAGAAAATTGAAATTTCTGTTTGTAATGCCAAATTAACAGATTTTTGCTAAATGCATATGAAAGTATATACTTAAAGTACTTATAACAAAAAAAATATCAATTTTATAACTTTTGTCTGTTTGTTTACTCCGGATAATCTCCGAAGCGGCTGAATCTATTTTGATGTGATTTTCACTGGCAAAAAGCTGATGTTATAAGGATTGAATAAGGCTTATTTAGAAAAAAGAATTATGGAACCACACAAAAAAATTAAAGCCAGGAACAGCTACTAGTAGTAATATAAAACATAATAAAGAAAATATTTGTTTCTTCACATAACCACAACGCCATATTGTCTATAGTATTTTCTCATTTTGAATGTTAATAATAATAAAGTATTGGACGCTGCCAAACGTGACGAAAAGATTTCAATCTAAGCATTTAGCGTGGCGAACCACAATCGCTGTTTTCAGTGTGGTCCGTTTAATTTCTTTCAAGTCGTTCGAGCAGTGGTCTATCTTAATAAACTTTAAGTAAATCCTAACAGTGAATAATAATAAAAAGGAAACAAAACAATAAACACTGGACTAGACTAGACTTTACTAACAATAGCCCCTCGTCTGTACAAACGCCATATTCTGGCGTCTCAAATAATATGCGCATCTGTCAATCACCATAATATATGGTGTCGAGTGATAGCAAACTATTTGTAACATATATATGATATATATAACATTCATATATATATATATATATATATATATATATATATATATATATATATATATATATATATATATATATATATATATATATATAACATATATATCTTATGCATAATCTGATAACTTATTTAATAACGTTTCCATTGATATATGATATTAATATACTTACTTAATATATATATATATATATATATATATATAGCTTTGCTCGTTATTTTTCGCTCGGTTTTTTTTAATTCGTGGGTTTTGGAAATTATATTCAGATACAAATTACATACTGATGAAATGACGAATAATATTTTTTGATCTTAGCGACATAATAGAAAAACTGAACTGGTTATTTGAATAAAAAATCATGAGTGCAATTAGTTTAATTTAAATTTTCGTGTTTTTAAAAAATACTAAAAAAAGGGCTCGAAAAAATAGATTTTCTCAAAAAAGAAAGGAACTTGAAAACAAAATTAAAAAAAAGTCGGTCGGTCGGCCTGGGCTCGAACCATGGTGTTACGATTTTGTGACCGCCCAATATACCAATTAAGCTATTTGTAATCATTAATAAACTGTCAAAATTTACCTTCTTATTCTAACGATATTGTAGCAGTTTTTTTATTGCCTGAAAACACGGACAAAGGGACATTTTCTAAAAATAAATCCTATCTAGATCGATTTATTGCCCCGGAAACTCTCTGGACACTAAATTTTATGAAAATCGTTGGAGCCGTTTCCGAGATTCCGATTATATATATACAAGAATTGATCGTTTAAAGGTTATAGGATTATATACGTAGTACTTCGGAAAGTGCTCGACAGATGCGCCATATTGGCCAAAATGACCCCGACATTCGAGTGGATATAAGAACAGCGATGGAATCAAATCAATGCATTAAAATTAAAAAAGAAAATACAAAAAAAATATATCTAAATCTCAACAATATAAAAAATTAATGAAAACAATATAAAAAATATGAGCAATTGATAACTATAATATTCCAAAAACGGTATTTTACGTGTGGCGTGACGTAAACGGCTTAGTCAATAATCAAATAATAATGCCGTGAAAAATGAAAGTGTAGATAAATCAATACCTTACCTCGTATACACCGTGCAAAGTAAGCTTGAGCTTCTTCCACAAGATCTGCCCGCAGTATGGACTTGTTGAAGTGATGGCGCAGCGTTTGGCTCCGAAAAAGTACTTTTGAAAACCCAATTTTGACTAAAATATTTTTGGGTTTTGACTATTAGGAGCCGCTATTCTGGTACTTTAAAGCAATGCCGTATTATTATTATGCTAGCCAAACGCCCTGCTATACTAAATATGTACTCGCTAGTGAGTACTTACCCTTAGTTGTTTCTTAAGAGATTATTAGGGCCTTTTAATATACCTAATGCTGTACTTTCCTTACCACATTTTGTACAATATGCAGTTTGCAAAGATACGATCTATTTAAATGCTTGAATAGGTAGGTAGGTGCATTTTGGTCGCTCTTTCTCTCTCTCTCTCTCTCTCTCTATGTGTGTGCGTGTGTATGTGCGTGTGTGTGTGCGTGTGTGTGTATTCGTATGTATATTTATTTTTATACTTGTATTGTTGGATATTCATCTCCTTTTATCCGTATAAGTCGTACACATTTAAGATGCTGCTGCCCATCTTCTGTGTTCACTTTCCCTCTGTCGCCTCTTATTTTTATTACATCGCCGCTAAAGCATCTAAACTTACAACAGGTCTTTCATTACAGCCATGAGGCGGCATTTTTCTATGAAAATTATTTCATGTTTAATGAAATCTATAACATACACTTTTTAATGTATATATTGTACATGGAAATTATAACTATACCATACCGCATTTGTTAAGAACAAAACCGGGAATTCTTTGAAGCTTTAATTTAGCCGATATCCTGGGCTGTTCTCGTTACTTATAACTCTCTGAAAGTGCTATCATAATGGCTCTATACAAACAATGAGATGTCTGTCATAACGTTTCAGGAAATACAATCCGTCGTGGCACTTACACTTCAAAATCACCGCTTGTACTTCGTCGCACTACAGCTGAACCAACACCAGCGCCATCTTTAAGCTCTATCAGTAGACGGAGACCATTTCCAGCCAGAAAACTCCCAACCTTATCAGGAGAGCAGAAAAAGTGTGAACAATTTACCAATACGGTTTGCCTTCACATTGATGATTACCCTGCGTAAGTAAATTTAAAAACTATATTTATATTATAATTAAAAATTTTCATCCATAACAGCCATCATGAATTACTTATTTTTTCCCTCTTAATCAATCCACAAAATTCCACTATTCAACATGAACCTTTCGCATTTGTATGATTTGCCTTAATCGCCACACTTGGCAGCAGAATACCTATAATAATGTGAAATGTTTTGCACGTAGGACGCTGCCCCTTATACAACGGTATAAGATATCATACGTCTGGCGTAAACTTAATTGTTTCCGACATCAATCAGAAGTTCATAGGTTTCCGTCTTCCGTCGGATAGCCGTCTGTTACGATTTTCTCGAAACAAAATAGATAAACAGATTTTAATAAGACGGGGATGTTTTCGAGTGCGATTTCGACCATAAAGACAAATTTTAAATAGCAGCAATTGCATGGCATATTGTAATGCTAAAAGTGTTCGCGGTTATAATACGAAGGTATAAACCTGCGGCGTAGTTGATAGTCATCGATATTGATAGAACATCAATGATGAAATCGATGTTGACGTCAATAGCTCAACATCGATGCTCCATTATCATCCAATTAACAATATCGATATTTTCATTATAAATGAAAACATCGTAAATAACATCATAGTTTTAGTAACTAACTGTTACTAAGATGTTTGTGATTTAACAATTTTTTACACAATCTAACTTTAAACTTCCATTCGTGACGTCGAAGTTACGACTTTTAATTAAGTGCTTAATCGTATAAAATCTGCCTAACGATGTTTTGTACATTGCATCATTGATGTTAAAATATCGATATTTTATCTCCTAATATTGACAATTAGCAAACAACGATTTTCATCGAACGTAGGACGTTATATAATCTGTTAGACTTATGATGACTGCGTAAAAAAAATCCACCTCACCGTTACATCCCCTGTAAGTCTAAAAGAACAGGAAATGCAGTTTTTATAATTTCCTGTAATTTAAGTATCTTGTATTTATTTATTTATTTAATCTTCATTATACACCTTATATACTAAGGGATATAAAGGGCGGACTTAATGCCTTATGGCATTCTCTGCCAGTCAACCCTGGATTATTTGAGAAACTGTGGCAGATGTAATCAATCACTTCATAAATAAATAATAATGATATAAAACAAAATAAAATGCAAATGAATAGAATAGATATATAGTTAGTAAAATATACATACTTACTTAATATACAGGGTGTTAGTGTAAACACCGTTGTCCTTGAAACCAGTGGTTTTGTTTCACTTATAGAAAGTAATTTCAATGAAAAATAACAACATTTTTTTTAGTCAAATCTCAATTTTTTCTTACAATTATTTCACCCTAGGCAAGAGCGATATACCTACAGAATTCACAACAAAAAACTCAACATATCGTAGGTAGCGGCAGCGATTCGCGGTCAAGGCCAATGTCACATGCCATGCCATGTGTGTCAGTGTGTCAGTCACCTTCGCTGCGTCGGTACGGAATGTACGTGTTAATTTGATTTAAAATCTCGCCGCGCAGTGCCGACATTCTACGTCGCTTTAGGTTGTAGTTTTGGTGCGAGTGTATTTAATTTGTAATTATGTCCTACATAAAAGTGCAGTGGAAATGTGCCTCTTCTTTCACTGAGAAACCTCTACTACCAACATGACGGTGCCCCTGCACATTTTCAGCTGCAAATCAGGGCTATGCTGGTTGAGGAGTTTCCTGGGCGATGAACCGACCTTACCCCGCTGGACTTTTATCTTTGGGGAGAAGTAAAGCGCCGAGTGTATGCAACTAAGTTCCGTAATACGTCCGAACTCAAAAGGCGAATTCTTAGTGTATTTAGAGAAATGACACTGTTGTGCTTCTAGCTTTTACGATTAATGTAAAAGCTGATCAAAATGGAATTCATTTACGAGGATTTTATTTAATAGGTAAGTGTAAATAACCAATCAATCAGGCTACACATCAAGCTATACAAATCCTTTGTCTTGGCCTCACTTTGTATGATCTTTCCGTACAATGAACGGTCAGCTTATGCTTCAAATGCCCTTTGCGTTCCAGGGCCGCGGTACGGTATACGGTAAATACGCCAAAAATCCTACCTAATGATTTACTATTTACTATTATTAATATTTAATTTTCTTTGTTGTTAAATCTAACTTACATTAATTTGGACTCGTCACGCAACACAAAGGGTAGGAATTTTTATCTGTCCTAAGCAAGTGTGAAAGTATGAAAGAAAAGTTTCATGATAGGTTTTTTTTTTTTATGTGAACCATTGTGTTTATATTGAAATGTTGTGTAGGTAGCAAGGGCGGGCGGTGATCTTTACAGTGATTACGTCACTCGAGCGCATAGGGTTCATGAATTTACGGACGGTGTTGGACAGAAACTTTTTTAATTTTATAAAAGAAAATAGGGTTTTTTTTAAAAAAAATCGGATAAATATTTTTATATTAAAGCCAACCACCTATGGTTTCAGTGACAACGGTGTTTACACTTACACACTGTATAATATAGGATAAATAATAAATATATAAACGGGTATTTCTATATAAAACTATAAGTAAATAAAATATTATGAGTCAAAAATAAAATATCACAATACATATTAAAATACATTATACAAAATATTACTTATAAAGTGAAAGAGAAAAAAAATCACAAAAACAATAGTCGGATAGTCAGGTGGTATTATTCTTACGACAGAATTCTCGAACTAGTCTTTTAAAATAATTCTTGTTATTAGTTTTCTTGATATAAACAGGCAAGGCATTCCAGAGCAGTATAGACTGCAAAGTAAAATAGGAATTATAGAAACCACTCCTATGTGGTGGAATACGAATTTTAAGACAATTTTGGGAACGGGGAACTCTATCGTTAGTAGAATACAAATATTGAAAGTTATCCTTAAGATAAGAGGGAGAATCGGGGTCATTTAAAATTGAATGTAGTACTTGCAAAGTTCGGGAGCTACGCCTTTGACGAATAGATAGCCATTTAAGCTTAGATCGGTACTGGGAAGTATGGTCATACTTACGTAAGCCGAAAATGAATCTAATGCAATTGTTGAGAAGGCGCTCCAACTTATCGAGAAGATATTGAGATAGATCTTGGTAACACACATCCGCATAATCAATAATGGGTAATATCAAAGTCTGGATTAGCAGAAGTTTAGTTTTAAAAGGCAGAAAGTTTTTGAGACGACAAAGAGAACGTAAGGTGGCAGTTCTTTACGGCTTGTTTCGGCAACTTGAACTTCCCAGCTTAAGGTATGGTATATATGTAAGCCAAGATTTTTGATAGACTTACAAAATGGTAACAACGTGCCATTGTAAAATACGGGAGCAAGGTTATCGTTATTAATCTTAGCTAACATTCTGCTACCACCTATAACCATTGCTTTGCATTTGGTTGGGTTAACCAAAACATCATGTCTGTACGACCAATCTCTAATGGCATCGAGATTGTGGTTGAGTTTATGAATATTATCATTAAGGTCGTTAACACTAGATTGCTCATAGAGCTGAAGATCATCTGCATACAGATGGTACGAACAGTTGAGAACTGAAGTGATAGAATTTATGAATAAAGAAAACATTAAAGGAGAAGGTATTCCGCTTTGCGGCACGCCTGTTTCAATGTCAACCTATCTTGAGAACTCATGACCTAATCGTACTGATAGCTGGCGGCCGCAAAGATAGGATGAAAACCATTTCAAAGCTGGGATTGAGAGTCTAAGATTAGTTAGGAAGGCTATAAGGATATCGTGGTCGATTGTGTTAAAAGCATTTGAAAAGTCAACAAGCACTACCACCGTTTGCTTTTGCTCATCCATTCCCATTCTCATACTGTGACCTGCACGAAAGCCAGACTGATATTTATTCAGCAGATTGTGTTTGGTTATGAACATAGATAGGTATGGCAATATTGAAATTGGTCGGAAATGGATAGGTAATGAGGAATTAGGTATTTTAGTAAGTGGTCGCACGAATGCTTTTTTCCACTGAGTAGGATATTGACCTAAGTCAAGGGAATAGTTTATGATATGTGTGATTGCAGGCAAAAGGCACTCAAGAATCATGGATACCATAACCTTACTAGCCACATCGCAACCCACAGCCTTGGATTTAATAGCTAGTACAGATTTCTATATCTCATCCTCAGTCACAGGTAAGAAGTGAAAAAAAGGAATAGGAGGAGATGGCATGGATTGAATGGAAGCTATTGTCGTAGAACCAACTGTGAGATCCAAAGGACAAGTAGAAATAAAGTGATGATTTATTTCATCCAGAGTGATTGATGGACCACGGTCAGATGTAACGGCCTTACTAATACCTAGTGTTTTAAGAAATTTCCACACATCAGCGGTTGAAGAGTTTGCAATATTACTATGGATATAACGGCGTTTAGCATTTCGTACCATCTGATTGCATCTGTTTCTTAGCACTCTGTAGCGATCCCAGCTGTCCTGTGTGCGATACTTCTTAAATTCCACAAATGCTCGATCTCGCCTAGTCATTGCCAACCTTACGGCCTCAGTCATCCACGGGCCTGGTGAACGCTTCTCTCTTACTTGATTTTTGGGAGCGTGTTTGTTGTACAGACCAAGAACTATATTATTAAGGATTGATACTTTATCGTCAATACAAGTTGATTTAAATAAAGAGGTTAAGTCAATACGATAGGCGTCACTTTTAAGTTTATCAAAATCCATTCTAGAGAAATTACGAATGTATAGTACGACGGGATTGAGTTTAGGAGAAATCAGAGATATGTAAATAAGATCATGTCGTGAAAAAGCAGGAGCCGATAGTTGTCCGTGCTCAATGACATAATCGGGAGAAGCCGTGACAATATGATCAATCCATGAGTCATCAGTGTCAATGTTGTGGTGAGTTGCCGCTAAGGGGAGAATTTGGAGATCGACTGACTCTATGATTGACCGAAATTTTTGAGAACGAGAAGAATTTCTCAACAAATCAGTATTGAAATCACCCATTATTATGCAGTGCGTGTACTCAGATGAAGTGGAAGTGAGGGCGCTTTCAAGAGCGTCCAAAAAATTAACAGCAGGTGGACAGTATACTACCCCAAGAATTGCCTTACACCTTTGATATCAATTTCCAGAAACAAAAACTCCGGTGAGGCAGAATACGCAGATGGAGAAGCTAAAATTATTTTAAAAGGGATGTTTGCTCTGAGGTATATGGCAACACCACCTCCACCTTTTTCAATTCGGTCGTTACGCAAAAGAACAAAATCATTTAGAAGTTATAAACTGGATATTAATGATGGCTTTAGCCAACTTTCTAAGTAACTAAGATTGCATGAACACAGTCTATAGAAAAAACTTCTTCAAAACAAAAATAATGACTTGGAATGCTTTGAGCATTGACATGACATATATTAAGCAAGTTTTTACAAGGCGTAAATAAATTGATCAGCTCATCGCGGAGGGAGGGCATACTATCACTACCATCACAAGATTCGAACGAGATATCTGAATCACGGGCAGAATAAAAAGATTCATCATCCGACATATCTAACATTAATAATAGCGATATAAGAATAATACATTTTAAATAAATAAAAAAATATAATATAATAATAATATTTTATTATTGTTTTACAGCTTTGACAAAAATAAAAAATAAAAATCCACACATAACCATCATCGATAACAGCGAAGGTTGCGCAAGCTTAAATGAAAGCAAAAGTAACAAGAACCTCATACCTTATGCGGAATCCGGCGAAAGTGAAAGATCATTGCGCTGGCACCAAAGCAAAATACGACTCACCGGTCTCATTGTAATTTGTCCTGACTTGTTCCGAGAGGTCGTTGTTGATTATTATTATTAACTTTACAGCCTATCTTAATTCCACTGCTGAACAACCTCCCCCTTAGATTGCATAGAAGGATATATGCCACAATTGCTAAATGGCGCTTGGCAAGTGCGTTGGCAACGGAAGATATTTATTATCTTTACTCAGCTGTTATCAGGAAAATGCTGCTGTCCATATCCTAGTTCACGCTTCCTTGTCATCTCTTACCACATCCACGGCATATTATGTGGTAGTGGATATTCTAACAACGCCACTTCACGCCTACCTTGATTTTTCGAAATTACTTATTACTATTGTAATGATATAACAAAAGTTAACGTGGGCAGCAACATCCTGATAACAATTCATTCATAAAAAGCGGCAGTGACAGTTCACCTGCTAACTAAACCAAATTAAATAAGACATAGCAGTTATGACAATTATCTCCCACAAGAGGCAATGTCTAGGAGAAAACTATGTTCAGCAGTAGAAATTTCATAGGCTATAATGAAAAAAAATTAAAGCGTTCTTCTTAAATTTATAGGGAAGCTATAGTCCAGTCAATAAGGCGTAACAAAGGGGCCGGAGCACTTCTAGCTGACATTAAGGACCCTGGAGAAGGAGCTGTTGATGGCATTACTGCATCACAGGAGGCAAAATATACCGCTGAGCACTACCTTGTGTCCAACAGGTATTTTTATTTCATAGTTTTAGCAATGCTTCTTCGCACGGTTTCTGTAGTAATAGTTGCAAACAAGCATACAGTCCTCCTGATGGTAACGAAATGGTTAGACAGCTAGGATTATCACCGATTGAGAATTAAAATACAGTTGCGTTATAACCTTTTAATACAATAAGCTGTTGTTAAGCTAAGTCAGTGTGCTTGACCATCTTCGGCTGCACCACTTACCACCAAGTGGGATACTAGTCAAACAATAACTTATGATACTTTTAAATTTTAAGAGTGACCAACGACCACACAATCCTCCTAATGGTAAATGGATACTGAGACTCATCTATCCTCGATTGAGAATTAAAATTTAGATGAATTATCACGCCTGAAAACAACGTCAACAAGCAAAACACCGTATCATTATGCTAATATTCCACGCTGGTATTCTGTGTGAGCGTGGACATTCCATTCCATTCAAACTGAACTATTTGTGTTGCAGCCATTCTTCTTTTCTGTATCAGCTCTAAGGTGGCGTCTCCTATTGTAGGAACAATTTGCGTAATTCATTTTAAAGCTAAAAACGGATTGGAGATCAGATGTCTCATACCTATAATGCTGTTCTAAGTCACCGGGTATTTGGTAACAATTTCTAAATAATCAAATCTATATCTATTAACTTTCCGCACGAGTAGTGACTGCATCGTTTTAACATAAATGCTTAAATTGTTTTCGATAGCCGCCAATCATCCACTATTATAGGAAATAACTTCCTCAGGCGTGGCGACACAGCCAGCAGAGATTTCGCGAGTGCAGGAGAGGCTGGCTTTATGTGCCCCAGCACCGTAAAGTACGCTAGACCGCAGCGAGCAAGGGCTACTTCGGGGCAGTGGAAATATATCGTGAACACTGGCGAGCATACTCAGACATTACGATTGGAAAAATGCTTGTAAGTATATCAAACACAAAATAGATTTAAACTCTTATGCAAATTTTTATGTGAGGGTAGTCTTAAAGTAAGAGCGTGTAGTGTGAGGAGAACGTTACAAGTAGTAAGCGTGTCAATTATAATTATCATCCTATAATTGAATTTTTTGAAGAAGATGATAAGGAAGGTAATGAGTCTATTGATAGAGAGGATAATATTTCCGAATTTATACCTGAATCAGAATGAAAACCTATCAGTCAACTAGCTTTGACTGAAAAATCTTAAATGGCAATTAATAGTTTTGCCAACGACAACAAATAGTAATATTATTACTGAGTACTGCTTAATAAGAAGGAACAGAACAAGAAAACTAAGAACATTTAAGACCATAATTTAGTTACTATATTTTTATGAAGCCAAAATCGTGCTTCTGCTCGTAGATGTGAAAAAAGTAAGAGTTGTCTCAGGATCGTAGCAATTGGAAGGCGGTAGTCTCTGCTTAACCTTCTGGGTGGCAGGCATGAGTGTTTATGATTATAATATAATATAGTTTTTAATATGTTGGACACAGTCAAATTGACATAGAGCCAAATGTAATGGCAATCGGCACACAAATACGAACTTTTAAATTACAACTTTTATAAAGAGTACTACGTACTTTCATCAAATATTTCTTTTTTCCAGAAAACCAAAAGAATCGTGCACTTATTTGACTGATAATTTTAAGTCTAAATGTGTACAAGTATATAACTATCACAGACTTTTAACTTGGGATCAGCAAAATGGCTTGCATATGGATATATTTAAGGTAAAACATTTTCAAATGAATGTCAATTCAAAACATTACATCATTGTTTAAATATTTATAATCATTATAATATAAATTATAATCATTATAGTTAAATCAAATTAGTGGTATAAAAATATTGAAAGTAACATTTTTACTTTGTTGTAACGTTCTTTTTTTTACAGGTTCCCACGTGCTGTTCCTGTCATATTGAAGGATACAGCGTCGCTTTTCCACCACTAGGTCAAAGAATATATGAAACTTCGTCAGAACATTTTCCTGGAGAAGAATTATCCCCAGAACATGCTAATCAGGCTGTTCAATCCACCGTTAAGAAACCTGCAGTTACGAAAACTTACAATTTTCCATTTAACAAGCCATTAGACACATTGCCTTCATTGATTGATAAGCATAACTCAATTCCAGGCCTATTATTTTCAGATGTAAGTGATGACGATGAGCTTAGCAATATGTCTCCACATAGTTTTAAAGATTCTTATGGGAATTCTTACTTCCCGGATTCCGTTAATCAAGGAACTTCAATAAGAAACATTAGGAAACCTCCTTCGGCCCGGAACCCTGTCGAAACAATTGATTTTAATACCGCAACATTACCAAGCTATTTAGAACCTCCCACGCCATCAGGATCATCTTCGTTATCGTACTTTAAAGATGTTTTAAACAAATACAAATATACTGATAACTTATTTAAAAAAGGCATTTCAAGACAAAATCGTCGGCCAATTAGAAATAAAATATCTAATGGACCAGAAGATTTAGTACCTTCCGGTACGTCTGCAGTTAGCTCATTTTCTAATGATAATTCAGATATTAAGGAAGAGTTGCCTCCGGGATTTCAGAGTTCTGACTCAAGGAAAACAAATCCTAACACCAGTGTTAGAGTAACAATAGCACCTAAGTTATTTGCAGTGACAACAGAAAAACAATTTAGTGCTTTAAGACCTAAAGGGGAGAACGTTACAAGTAGTAAGCGTGTCAATTATAATTATCATCCTATAATTGAATTTTTTGAAGAAGAAGATAAGAAAGGTAATGAGTCTATTGATAGAGAGGATAATATTTCCGAATTTATACCTGAATCAGAATGGAAACCTATCAGTCAACTAGCTTTGACTGAAAAATCTTAAATGGCAATTAATAGTTTTGCCAGCGACAACAAATAGTAATATTATTACTGAGTACTGCTTAATAAGAATGAACAGAACAAGAAAACTAAGAATATTTAAGACCATAATTTAGTTACTAAATTTTTAATGAAGCCAAAATTACGATGCAATGTAAATTATTATTTTTATGGTAAATTATTTATTTATGTTAATTAAGTAATTATTTAAGTAAAAAATAAATAAAAATGAAAGACTTTTTTGAATTAAATGGCGTTAATTAATATGAAATCCTTTAGCTTATCTAATGCACATTTACAGAACAAAAGCTGTTCTAACAAAAAATCTTATAAAAAATGAGTAACGCAAGTACGGTCTATGATATCAATGCTATATAATTTTTTATGCGAGGTCATAAATTTGTTAGCGTCAGATACTTTTTTAATTGAAAATACAAACACGTGTTCAGGAAAGTATATATTATTACGTACAAGTACCTATATTGTAAATTAATTCTGGTGTTTGTTGTGATTTTAATTTATTTAATTAACTATTTTAAAAACTATCCTTACCTATCAATTGTTATATGTATACTTTAAATATAAAAAACAACCAGTTTTCATGTATATATAATTATATATATGTTCAGCCAATAACTTGAGTCATTTGTTTCGAAACTATTAACGAAAGTGAAAGTATAGCATTGACAAAGAGGTGAACGATCATACCATTAAAACGTTAAGTAGAGCAGTCTTCTTATATTATTGGAAAATAGGAAAATTATCAATTGCATTGTTGATAAAACTGTATAAATAGTCAGAATAAAATTTGAAATAAGATATTTTTTACACAAATAAATAAAAAATGTAAAAAATGTTAGCGTTAAAACATAATTTCAATATTTACATAATCTTTTTTATTTATTTTGTTTTAAGTAAATACAATTAATAAGTTATACGCAATGATGCTATAACATAATATAACTTAATATTTATCACAGATTATCATTGTAGTGATTTTAAATTATACATTTAATTAAGAAAACATTATTCAACACCGTGAAATTATTACCAAAATCTTAACGATTTAGCAAAATCGTAAACTAAAGTTTAGTGGCACAATTTTTTTTAAATTATAGCAATTTTGTCAAATAATAATTACTTTGTAATTACACATTTGATAAGGGTTTTTTAGGAATCGACATAGTAGTACATTCTTTTGCTTGGATCTAATATATAGGCTGGTGTAGTTGTTAACACGGGAACAGCACGAGCAAAACTATCAAGTAGCGCTGCCGAATTTCTTCTGATATTCTTAAAATGATCATCTTTTTGATTCTCATTATTATGTTTATTTTTGTCATCGTATTGTGTAATTTTAGCACTTCTATAATTACCCCCATGCATAGGATTGCCATTTCTGAAATTATTATATGTTTTAAAGTTACCGCCATGCATATTCTCCGTTGCACTTTCACTATCATTATCATCGTGTTCCTCACTAAGTTCAATCTCCTTTTCATTCTTTTTTTCCTGAATTTCATTCAATTGTTCTTTATTCAAATTTAAATTGCCGCCATGCATATTATTGACTAATACCGGTTTTGATTGATTGCTATGTTGTAATAATTTGTAACGTTGACCTCGACTTCGTCTCGATCGTTGGGTGGTAGTTTTTGGTTTTGTATTTTCTCCAAGGCTTCTTTTCTCAGATTTATTAGCCTTTATATCACTACGATTTGTTGTATCACTCTGTGACGATTCAGAATCTTTTAGTAACTGGACATTTTTAAGGGAACTTTCATTTTTTGAAGAATCGTGGCTTTTTGGAGGCTCAATACTTCTATAATTTCCTCCATGTCTTGGGCCTTTCTTGATATCTAGATCGCTATTGAATACTTCCACATCAAAAAGATTGTTAACTTCTTTTGCTAAATTTTCATCTTTATATAATTGTAGGACCTCTGCATACTTTTGTGGTGTGATTTGTGCCTTTCTGGCTGGGAACTTTTTTATTATTTCAATTTCTTTTATGTCTTGTTTAAATTGGGTAGTATTTTGAGATGACTTTTCCGATGGTAGTTCTTTGTGTATTTCAATTTTTTTCTTTGATATTATTGGCTTTAAATCTAATTTCTTTCTGCGTACTTCAGTGGTCACTTCAGGAGCAATTGTTGTCTTTACAAGAGTTCGCTTAGTTGGCTCTGTTGTTACTATAGTTTCCCTTTCGCTGCTTCCATTATTATTTGTTATGTCATCGTCATTTTCATCTTCATCGTCTAAATCATCCTCATTCTCCTCTTCATCGTCATCTTCAGCTTCATAGCTATCGTAATCTGCATCTCTGCTGTCATTTTCGTCATGTTGGTCATTTTCATTTTCATTATTTACTTCTTTTTCATAACTACTGCTTTTATCTTTTGATATTTTAGAATTTTTTTGTATTTGCTTGTCTTTTTCTTCTTCTTTTTCGTAATGAGGCATATATTCTTCCATATCGTGTTTAATACCAATTAACTCATCGACTTCATCCTTCTTCATGTCATCAATCCCTTGTCCATAACTTTTACTATCGGTAACTATAGTTTTTTTAGAACTTTTCGTTTTCTTTTCCCTGTACTTAGGAATCATTATGTCATCGTCATCTTCCAGTTCTCTACCGATTGGCGTTGCGATATTTTCTTGCTTTGGTTTTCTGACTGTATCATAAATATTTCTTGTTGGATTCCAGAATCTTGTAACTAATTCTAGTTTAGGCGATTGTTTATTAATATAATCTTTATTGTTTTCACTCTCTGGCTTGATGGTTGTTGTAATGATTCTAATTATTTTTCTAATTGTTGGTTTCGTTGTAGTTGTTGTCATTAGTAAAACGTCTTCTTCATCATATTCATCGTAATTTTCAGCGTCTTCATCGCTTTCCTGGGAATCAGAGGACATAGAAATTTCTTTTTTTTCTGGCACTGTCTTATGTTCCGGGATATCCTTAATTGTTTTTACTCTATTTGATGCTTCTGTTTTTTGTAATTCAAAAGATTGTGGTAAGTACTTTGTAATATCAAATATTGGTCTACTATGAAATTTGTCATTTGCCTGTTTTTTTGTTGCACTTGTTTCTAAATTTTCATTAATCTTATCACGGCCTGTATTATTAGTTTTATGATTTGTATAAGCTTCAAGAGACATCGACTTTTTGTTTTCTACAGGCATGTAACGAGCTTTATGGTTAGCGGGTCTTTGTTCAAATCTTGGTTCACTTTGCCGCGAGTCTTCGTTAACATTTATAAATGTTGAATTAGAATTTTCAATTTCAAGTTTTTCAAGAACTTTTTCCCTATCCTTTCTGTCAATATTTTTGTAAGTAAGACTGGCTGTGTTTCTCTTAACTGGTGAATCTTTTTTTGAATTAACTGTCACCCTATCTATTACTCTACTAGACTGTAATTGCTTTATTAATGGGCTTATATTACCTGTTGTTGTCGTTTTCTTTGAATCTTGAATTTGGCTATCTCTTATTATTTTATAGGGTTCATAAATGAACGGCGTTGCTCGTCTTTTTCTTGATATTATTAGTTGTTTATAATCTTCCGCTTCATTTTGTGGACTTATCGTAGTATTTATTTTAAAGACTTCGTTGAAATTATGGTTTCTTAATTTGTATGGTGAAATGTTATCGGTTTTATTTAATAAAGTTTCATTTATGAGTTTTGGTAATAAATTAATATTGATTTGTGATTCTTTCGATAATTGCTTTTTCGGCTGACCTAATAATTTAAATATTTCCGAGGCAGGTACCGTGACCGGTTCCGGATTAGAAATAAGTTCTTCATCAAAAAATGGGTTATCTAATGGATTATCGCCGAAGTACTTAATTTTAAAGCAATCAATTTTGTCACCAAGCCCTTTTAATCTTTGTTTTTCATCGTTATTTTGGTTTAAATTTTGCTCCACGTTCTCATCATCACCATCTTCATTTTCATCAGGATGTCTATTCTTTTTTAACTTTTTTGGTAAGGGATCAACGTTCTCTTCAACCTCAGGACATTCAAATTGAGTACGAGAATCATAAAACTCAGTGCCCCCATTTGATTTTCTTGGAATATTTTTAAAATTTTCAGCATAACGTAAAGGTGAATCTTTGTTAATTGAGCTTTTATAGTAATAAGGAAATTTACTTGATAAATCATTTGCTTTGTTTGGCTGTATTTTTGATGAAACTTTTCGTACTTCATTATCGTTAAAATTGTTTGAGCTTAAATTTACTTCAGGTACTTTAAAAATTGCTTCTCTTTTATTTAAGTCATGTTGAGAACCAGCTTCAGATACATCATCAACGCTAACATTTTCATTGATTGATTTTTTGACAGGAGCATCTTCATATTTATTACTTTTAATAATGTATTCATTCTCGTCTTCAGAATAATCTTCTTCGTCATTTTGTTCTTCATCGTCATTAGCCACATTCTTCCACTTTTCACCGTGTAAGACATTATCGTGATAAGTTAATCCTTTTCCATCTTCGTAATTTCCACTGAATGAAGGTATTTTATATTTACCTTTACTCAACTCTTTTTCTTTCAAATAACCACCATGCCCTTCATGATCAGATGCGTGTTTTTGTTCTCCAGCATGATCGTAAGCAGAATCTTCATAGCCTTCTTCCGAATAAACTGTTTGCGCTTTAGTGCTTTTTATTGCTTCTCGTAAGCGAGGTGCATTTTGAAATTCATCATAGGTTTCTGCGTCGCGAAAAGCAGCATCACGTGGAAGATGCTTTACTGTCTCTGTTTTTCTTACTTGCGCGTAGTTTTTGACAGGTACAAATTCATAATTGTCTTCATTGTTTTCACTTTCATTATTTGTACTCTGAAGTTCTAAGTTTTGATGATTACTTGGATGATTTTCATTAATAGCGTCGTTAATTGACTCGTCGATTATATGTCTTAATTTAGTAAACCTTTCCTTGCCTTTCTCGTAAATATCGTAACCATCCGGTTTTTCTTCATATGCCTGAGGAAGTTCAATTTGGGGATACTCGTTGTTTTCATCGTCATATTTTAAGGCGTGTTGTTGTCTTAATCTTTGCAAATGATTCTTCACTGGACGATAATGCATTGGAGTAACTTTGGCATAGTTTTGGTTCCATGGATGCCTTATTTTGTGATTTAAAATCTTTTCACGGTGATTGTTAACTGCTGGAGGCATATAGTACACAGGTCGTCTTTGCGGTCTGTGAATCTCAAAATGAACTGGTAAAGACCTATGAGGAAATATTTTTTGGTCAGTTTGTTCTGGTTTTTCTAAATACTCATTTTTTTCGATATTGGGTTCACCAGCATCGTTTTCGTATTTTTTTAAACGGTCTTTACTATCCTTTAAATCATTTCTTATCTTATCTAAAACAGGATCTTGATATATCGCCTTCAGTGCTGGTTCCTCAGACTTATATGGGTGAAATATATTAAAATTACTTGAAGCCGGTGTAACGTAGCTTAATTGTTCGTTGCCCTTAACGAACCCTCGATACGCTTCAAACATATGATTGTTATTATCAAAAATATTATGCTTTCCCAGCTCCGGTTTCTTAACACCAGTAAATGGCCTTATAGGATAAGTCTTATAATATTTTTCAGGAGACTTTACACCATGAAAAGCGGCAATATCAGTAGCAAAGTGAGGTTTTTGCGCTGTATATTCAAAGTACTCTTTAGGGATTGCTTTTTGATGCACAAAGTGTGATTTGAATGTCTTAATATCGGATTCATTTTGGTCTTTGAAATTATTTTTTTGCACTTCACTATTGTCATTCCATTCAATTGGTACACGAATTGATAAACACAAAGTAAATTGGAGCACAAAGAGTATTGATACTGAGATCATGTTTGTTCACATCACGAATCGCGGCTAAAACTTCGGTTAACTGAATCAGCTGGCGGGCTAGTTACTGCTTTTATCCCCTCGGTCATTTATCGCGGGCCGATTGCCGGTGACCGTTCGCTTTGTCACGTACGTTTGGTTCAAAGTTATAAGTGAAGCGGAGAGGTAAGTGCGTAAAATTGTGTTTTTGTTTTGAATAAAATATAATTTAAAGTTTATCATTTAGTACACTTAGTCGGCGGACTTTTAGTCTGGAGTTAGTTTTGTTCTCTCAAAATTCCATGCGCTCGTGACTTAAGACAATTATTGTTGAAGTAATAAACGTATTTATATGCGACCTATACTTTCATAAGTTATCAACATATTTTAAGTTTTTTTTAAATTCTATTTTATGTATTATATAGATGATAGAGTATGAAAACACTAATGTGTAAGTAAGTGTGTAAGTATTACTGCATATTTGGATGTTATTAAGTGTCAAATGAACTTTCACTGCCCTAGATCCCTGCGCATTTAACTAACTGGTAAAGTACTTCATTGTAAGAAGCTTAAAATAATGAGCTTACATTGAGACACACGTTATGGACACTAGGAGAATGTGACAAGTGATTTAAACAGCTATTCTATTGTACGAGTTAGTATAAAGATAAAAGTTATAGGAAAACTTGTATTTGTAATTCAAAAAATACAAAAAAAAGAGAAAGTAAAGTGCATGAGTTTGCACTTCATTAAATATGACTCAATAGCTATAATGCAATACGTGACGCTATTATAATCAAGTGTTTATTCATTTTTAATTAGTTATCTCCGATAATTTGCATTATATTGAATTGTGAAAGTATTTATAACATTAAAAGACTAAATAATGAAATATCATTATAGATATCTTTTTTAACTTTTCTAAGCCAGCACTTAGCTACAATCCCACCTGATGGTAAGTGGTGTAGCTTAAGATAGTAAAGCATACTGACTTAACAATAACCTATTCACTCTTGCCTTGAAGACACCCACATTGTAATAGGATGGAAAGACAGATGCTGGCAACTTATTCCACTCCTTTGCTGTACGCAATTATTAAATTAATAGAGTTTTTAAATAATGTCGTCAAAAGCATTAAATATACCTTTCAATTTTATTTTTCAATAAACAAATCATATTACTCAAGTTTTATGGTTCGTTAAAATATTAAAACGTATAAATTTGTGGTATACAACGGAATATTATATCTGCCTCAAAATATAATTTGTTATTCCGTGCATATTCTAGAGCACAATTATATCAAGAACACTGTGTTGAAACCAGCCTCTTGCGACATATGGCAACACTTGGGTATCTCACGGTGGTTACTGGTCAGTCGCTTAGTAATTTGAAAACCTTCAATATAAATTAATCAGTTAAACGTTTCGTTTTCTGCGGAAGTACATTTCCATCACAAGTTCACAAGGTAGGCAAAATTCTAAAAATGTAATAATTACACAAATACACTTGAGTTGAGATATTTATGTGTCTACTATTACAGGACTATAGAATTCATAAAAATGTCTATTTGTAACTTTTTTTAGTATGATCTTTTTTATAGAATAAGGGTGAAAGCGGGCAGTCCGCCTGATTATAAACATGTTATGCTGCGGCCTACAGACATTTTTATCTATGTTCGATTATGAAAACAAGTGCGTTGTCACCCCTGACGACTAAGATGGTATGCCTCGTCTTAAAAATGCATTAACCTCTGTTCGACAAAATGCTGTCACAAAATCATGCTATGTATAATATGCATGAATAATAATTAATAAAAATATTTCGTAATTTTAGTGACACAATTTCGCAAATTCGATACACTAATTTATTATAAGCAATCAATTTTATCATTGGCAGATCTTTTAAAGGACAGTTTTTGTTCTTGTGAGTCCAATGAAAACATATTTTAGATTGAGAGCCAATTTGTCGAGGTAAATTAAGCAGATAAAACAAGTGCATTTAACGAAATACAGATTAAAAAGATGCTGTTACGACTTTAAGTTGACTTGCGAAATTAAGGTACGGCGGGGTCTTGCAATCCAGTTAAAACTATGTCAACATGCAAAACTTAGCTTACGGTTCAATAGAGAGAACTTCGGTCAATGCGCCAAATCGAGCTTTATATTATTTAATTAATTCGAAGTCATTGTAATGAAAAAACGCAACATTGCCATCTAATAAGTGAATTAATTGCGTCACTGATTGCCTGGTAGGTCTAGTGGTCGTAAAATTGTTTGCTAAACTTGAGGTCCCGGGTTCAACCGAATTCAGTTCTTGAGTGTTTCTGTCAACACAATCTGTACTGAGTAGCAACTCGAAGCCTGAAGAAAGCTATTAGACCTGCTCCTGATCCTGATCTCTCTACAGTCGTGTCGGATTACTGTCCCATCGGATGAGAATGAGGGAATAGAGAGTGTATCTGTGCTTGCGGCATACACCTGGACACTATAATGCTGACTTGCGCAGATGGAACTCCGTTGAAGCGAACCGCTGTAACCGAAATTCGGTCTGGAGGACATTGTTATTTATTAATTGCATCACTCGAGCACAAACGAGCATTTGTGAAGCGGCTGGAAAAAAATTGAAGCCTTTATTAACTTGACGCAACTTTCTTACATCGGCACGATAGCAGTTTACTTATAATGTAATTTGTGCAATTGTACGAGGGGACATTTCTTTATGTAATTTCGTTGCCAATCATTGGAAATTGACCCATTGTTGATCCTGACGTAATTCGACTGCGGGCAACCGCCCGATACAAGTGGTCGCATAGTTATTTGAAAGTGCAGGAAGTTAGAAATATGTTGCGTTCACTGTGCTACGCCCTCCGTTGTTGGATATATGAAATGATATGGTTAGATATGTGACTGCAAATTATTCTGTAAGAGCAAAGTCGCTCTAAAAGATTGTTACAACACATCTAGACTGAAAAAAAACACACACACACACACACACACAGTGGTGGATTTTGGTTCAATGGTGGATGTCACAGGTCAAAACCCAGTCGTTCTAACATTTTTTTATAGAACAAGGGTAACAAACGAGCACACAGTCCACCTCATCGTAAGTGGATGCTGTGGCCCATATAATATTTATCCTCAATCACTGTTAGATTTTGTTGAACAAAGACTCGGATTGAAAATCTCCGTTCAGTTCAATCCCCAGAAGACACAAGTCTGCGTGTTTACCGCTAAAAAGTGACCCATTCGTGCTGCAATCATAATATACTCGTGGTTTTATCACATACAGTTTTACACTTCGCTCTTAAGCCTACTACCACTAAAAACTAAACTAGCAACTAAAAATGAAAAACTGTGTTTGTCAACGTATCTAAATAGCGACAAATATAGCGAAATCTCTTTCTACGAGGCAATCTATGGGAGGCCTATATCAAGGCAGTGGACTTTCGATAAGCTGTAGAGGTTACAAATTTCTCTTTATAGGGGACAAGATACATTTAATCAAGCCATCAGCAGTCGTGCGTAACTGTAGAAAATCCACTGGTACTTGATACAATGCCCTTTAATCAAAAACTTAAATTGAATTACTTATTTCAATAAGTAACCGGTAAACCTATCGTTGTTTCTTTTCGTATTGAACAATGCTGACCAGAATCAAATTTTGTTTACGAGCCACGCTGCAGCTATATTATGGTTGTAGCACGAATGGGTTGGTTTGACCAGGGAAGGAGCATGCTCTCACAGAATACCAGCGTAAAATAGCAGCTTAATACTGCTGTGTTTCGTATGGTGAGTGTAGAGATCCGGAAACCCTTTTTTACTGGAAACGAGGCATTCTTTCTTAGTTTTCGGGGGTGACAACGGATTTGCATTTGATTTTTAATCAAGGACAAATGTAGATATCTACAGGCCACATTATCCACTTACCATCAAGTGGACCGTGTGCTCGGTTGTCACCTTTATTCTATAAAAAATGTCCTGATTTGTACGCTCTATCGCCTCTTACAACATTATATATATATATATATATATATATATATATATATATATATATATATATATATATATATATATATATATATATTATGGGGTATTTTTTTAAAATCTATAAAATTAATTCAAACAATGCCTTAATCTTAAAATAGTATACAATAACAGGTACCTGTACTAGGAGAAACCAAGACCGGATAGTTCTTGCGTTTAATGGCTCGCTCAATCTCTTAATTTATTCCCATGGTCACCTCTTACGGCATCCACGGGACTACAATATAGCAGTGCTTTTTATCCAACTTCAAGAAATAATGTTCTCGATTCGATCCCACATGTTTTCTTGTACTTACATATGTTTCGAAATACCTTCGCCAATTATTGTAAACTGATTTTATTGATTATTTGCTTAATATCTTACATTTTTTTTTTACTTGGTAGAGCCATGCTGCAGCTATATTGATTGTATGTTTCTAGCACGAATGGGTCGGTTCGACCGGGGAAGGACCACGCTCTCATAGCAGCTTAATGCTGCTGTGTTTCGTATGGTGAGTGTAGAGAACCTGAGACCCTTTTTACTGGAGAAGAGGCTGCATTTTGATTCGCAGACGAGGATAGATGTCGATGTCTATGGGTCACAGCAACCACCTACCATCAGGTGGACTGTGTGCTCGTTTGTCACCCCTTTTCCTATATAAAATAATTTAAGTTTGAAGAAATATTCTACCACTGAGTGTGGGAAAATAGCAGAACATTACAAAAAATTTATAATGTAATCTAATATAGACGTAAGGTTTAAAAGCGACCAGTCCGGTTGTAGTGTTATGCTTACATACATACTTACATATCATTTTACACTATTTTATTTTTATTTTTCCATTCTGTTTTTGATTTTCTACATTCACCTCAAAACTGGATATTTTGCATCACCTTTATTTCCATAGGATCCTGTAATATTTTTAATTCATAAGAACACAATAACAAATCATTTTCACTTCGTATTTTCACGTTATCAGCACTTTTTAAATCGGTGTCAAT